GTATGATATAAAGTGATAGTCACAATATGGTTGTCATCTGAGATATGGCTCATTCGCTCTCTGCTAAAACGCACTCTGCTTATTTCCTCCTGAAACTACCGGCTGTTTCATTCTCATTAACATCTGTTAATTAAATAAACACAATTTGAGTACTTGTTTGAGGAATAAGAGAAGAGCAAATTTAGTTGATTGCTTGAGTTATTCATTACTAGAATACTTAAAACATGGCCGAAAAACATATTTATTAATTTATATCAACTGGCAGGCGTGTTGATAGTCATCATTAGCCCTTTAGCTGACTTCGTACTTCACAGAGGGGAGGGGGACAATATAGTGAGAAAAATTCGAGAGGGAGGGGAGGGGGGAAGAAGAGTGATTCATAGATGTAAAGTGAAAGAGAGTCACATAGGCAGAGAAAAGGTAAGATGAGTACTGTTGAAGTGGTCGAATTTAACATACAGTCGGGTCATGGTAGTTTGAAGTCAGAAGTCACCTGCCGAATAATAGATTTTTTTGCCGTATGAGTATACGTTGCCCAGGATGCACCACGTGGAGGTAAGTCTATCGCGCACCCCGAGAATAACATTATTGAGGCAGTTATCTTGCGATTTGCCATTAAGAAATACAAAATTCACTAACCCTCTTCCAATGGATAGGGGTGAACACTGCTCAAATCGAAGTAAAGACCAGTAGGGCGTTCAAAGGTGAAAATTAGCAAAGTAACTGTGGAGGGGAGGGAGGGGGTTTCACTTTCGACATATCGCTTATGTATTGCTCGAGACGAAATCCCAGACACTAGAAATAACTGCATAATTATTATTTGTGGCTAAGGTCTATAATTAATGTAGTAAAAAGTGCACTTATATTTTGTAAGACTACTTTCATTTTCAAGCACTGCCAAAAGTTCGCCACTCGCCAGTCCGGCACATTTTGTCTAGAAATTCAAAGAATACGCCAATTATGTCTGCTGGTATTAGAAGGTATTTGGCTTAAAATAATCCCTAACAAATTAACCTGAAATAGCATCCACTTCAAATGAAAGCTTCGGTAAGTTTATTGGTCAAATTAATAGTCACTAAATGTCATTCAAAGTAGTTTTATTATTTTACCCTTTACGCTAAAGCAGTGGCATTATTACATTGCGAAGTAATATGTCATTGTTTTTATTATTGATTTTAAAAAGTAATTTATTGTGACATTCTAATGTAATGGATAACGTTTCTAACATTGATTGTAAACTTTTCTTGAAGGAATGGCACAATGGAATTTGTAAAAAATATGGTCATATATCTTTTTATTTACATTGGAAACTTAAGTCCTCCTTGAGGGGTTCCTTCTACTTCAAGGACGTTTTTGTTCAGTCTGGACGCTTCTAATTGTTTTTCCTGTCCACACCCCCTTGCCTAAATATTAACTAAGGGCAGAAATCCTGAGATTGGTCAATTCTCTCCAAAATGGAATGTCCAATCAAGATGATAAGTTGAAATAATATTTCGTTTCGCCACATGAAACCGCAATGTCGAAAAGCAGTGCATTCAAACAAGCTAATACTCCTTATTCTGCTTTTCCAAATTCTACCGTTTAATACAAATCCGCTTCTTGTGAAAGTATACTCGTGAAAACATTGAAGTGAAGTCGATAGCAAACTGCTAAACGCATAAGCCCGGACTTAACCCCAGTAATCTCTGTGGCAAAACCCTCCAGTATGGAATCGCCGCCGAAGGTGGCTAAGCTACCTCAAATGCATAGAGAAAACAGACGAGTGACGTGGAATTCGTTTATTTTGGTTATGTGTGTCGTGTGTGAAGGTGTGTGAAGGTGTGTCGTGTGCGGGGTATTGATTATCAATTGACTATTAACTGTTGACTGGCACTCGTGACAACTTTGCCTCCATAACGCAATCAACATCACGACTTCACTCTTCAGAATGTTTAAGCGTCCATAGTGTTTTTAGTCTAATTGTGTACTCCACAACTCTAAAACTAACAGCTATTCAAACAGATATCGTATTTTTCATTGGATTTAAATTAGTTTTAATAAGAAGAAGGGTCTTATATTGATTTCCGTAAATTATGTCTAATTCCATATCCTTGAAGCCGAGTGAAAAAGATTTCAAAGTCCATTTAAAATCGTGACTCATAAAACCCCACAAATATTCTTAAAAATAATTTAAAATTGCGCTTTACTTTATTTAGGCATGTCTTTAGCTGAAATATAGTTCAATCAAATCGTATGTTCTAAAATGAATTAAATTAATGAAAGTGTTAAAAATTTTAATAATAAACAATTTTTAAATTAAATTTATGAGTGTAGTTGTCAGTATTAATTTGTGGAGATAAATTAATTTTTTTTAATGAGATTCAATTAAATCCAACTTTAAAGTACAAAGCTTTGAGAAACCGCCACTCTACTTTTTCGGCATTGGCCAATCAAAGCCTCAGCTATTCACCACTCAGAACGGGTATAATTCATTACCAAGATGAAAGGCCGAAGGTTTGTGCCCCTTTTCAATAAGCACTTATTCCATCTCGACTGATTTGGGTATTTCTTTGTTTGGGGTAATTTTGAGGGAGATCATCCGGTCTTAATTTACCATGAAAATAATCCCGAAATTCATTTTCCCACTCCATTAGGATGAAACTTTCATTGACCTAATAACTGATATGGTTCACAAAATAGCGAACTTGACAGAAGATCAAGGAAGTGAGATCTGGACTGATTTTCGTGAAACAATTCTTCTTTGATAAAAAAATTTGAGCTTTCCCCTTATTAAGGCGGTGATTCAGAAATTGCAACAATACAACTCCCATGAGGGAAGGAAAAAAGAATTCGCCTCTCTTCAATCATCACACTGTTCTATTTTTTGTTATCATAAAGTCCATATGATCAAAAAATGATCTATTAGTGACTCTGTTGGGTTAAATATGTTTTTTCCTTAGTCCTACCCCCTTCTCGGGATCCAGTCGCTAGTTGACAAGTAGCCACATGTTTTGTATCATTTTGCACGTTCCATTCCTTGATGATTAATCGTTCAATTAAATTACTTTGTGCTGCCTAATGAAATTATTGCGCAATACGTTAGGTAAGCAGTGCTAATTATTGTTGCACTTTTGAACTCTTTCTATTTAGATGTTATCCGAATAAGAAATGGATAACCAATGATATTTAACTAATATTAAAATTTCAACAAGAAGGCAGGTGGTTTAGCACTAGGTCAACTAAAATTAAAGGCACGAATTTAATTTTAATAGTCCTTTTATGATACCTATCCTGGGTTGCGCGATAGACTTAATCCTGAACAGCGAATACCCGAAAGTCTATGAACCGGTGATTGACTCCAGACTCAAACTACCATGACCGGACTCTATTTCATATTCGATCACTTTCACAGTACTCATCTTACCTTTCCCCCGCCTTTGCGTCTGTCTCTCTTATATCTGTGAATCACTCTTCCGTCTCCCCCCCCCCCTCCTCCCATCCCCTCGACTTTTGTGACTTTGCCTGTTCTTCCCCTCAGTGAAGCCCAAAGTCAACTAAAGGGCCAATGATAGCAAACGTAAATCCTGCCATTTAATATAAATGATACCTAACGTATGGGCATACAGATAGGTTAATTGATAGATAGAATGAAGGATAAATTGATGGATGGGTGGAAGGATAGAGGACAGCATAGTATTTAAGAACTGAGGTGAGCTGGTTAGGGAGCCTGGCTGTGGAAATTGAAGAAAGGGGTTTGGGTAGGAGCAGGCTGAATAGAAAGCAAGATCTGAAGAAAAACTATTCCAAGGTCTTAATAGGAAGATGAGACATGGAGAATAATTGATTCAAAAGTAGGGGAGGGAGACGTCCTGATGGGGGGATCCTTTGAACCTTCAAGGAAACATTGAGAGGCAGGCCAATCCTTGGATGATTCCAATCCCCCGATTCCTTTTCCTTATTGTCAAGTTAGTAATGTATGATGGCCTTGACACCTTTTTCCGCATTTTATAGAAAATTCGATAAAATTTAGATTAATATCACCATCTTAAAAATGTCCAAATAACAAAATTTATTTCAAGTTTACACATTTTTGAACAAAAAATTAATTTTTGCCTATAGGCTTGTTTTGTAAAAAATTTTCTGCAATTTTTTATCATGTATTGTCATATTTTCAGAGCGGTCGATTTAATTTCTCCTATTAATTTAATTAAATTTTTGAAAATTGTCCATTTGAAATTGCTTCATAATGAGCAGATAGGGAATTTTTTCTGTTTTAAATTAATAGCATAAATTCTTGGCATAAATTTTTCATCTATTGTTTCAAGATTAGAACCAAATATATTTGCAATTTTGTCTACCTCTTCACTTACGCGAATAATATTAAGATTAGATTTTTATTTTTTAGGTCAAATTTGCAAAATTAACTATGTTTAAAATTGGCATTGCCTAAAATGGACAAATTTTTGTCATAAATGTCACAATATTATTTTTCCTTTACAATTTTGGTCGGATTTGAATCTGCAACAGTTAGCACACTGTTTATTTGCACCTTTAAATAATTAAAATTTCCTTTCTTTATGCTGGACTAAGTCTGTCTGAGTAATGGGTAGCCTACACAAAAAAACATGAAAAATGATATGTAAACGTTTAGAATAAGTAAGTAAAATTCACGTTAAAAAGTAGCTTGTGTTTTAAATTTAACAATTTTTATTGGTCAATATTCTCGTAAAGATAATATCTTAATATTCATAGTTCCTATTTTCATGATTTAGACTATATTTTAATTTGGGCAATTTAGCCGATTAGTTCAGTTCATGGGTCACCTTGATTAGACCCTATCAAGTTACACCAAAGATCTAATTCTTTTTCCCATTTTCTAGAAGAAAATACGATGAACTTTCCATGGCAAGAAATGGCGATTGCACACTGAATAAAATTAAGATTCAGTGACCAATCAAAATGCAGCTCGTATATGCGCAGCCATTCAACAACAGGAACATTATTCTAATTCATATGGATAGATGATAGCTTTCAACGACGTAGTCATAACCTGCGGTCATCTAGGCGCTCCCCTTGAATGCTACTCGCATAATATAGCCAAGGAGCAGGGCAAGGATTTCATAGTCACGTCCTTTCATAAGAGCATACGCCAGTTCATCATCGTCTACCTTGGATCCTTTATCTCGGCTGTTGGCATTCTTGGAAGTATCATTTGTCTATTTATATTTCTAAGAACTCGATTGGCTGTTCCGACCACACATTATCTACTTGTGGCCAGCTCATTTGTTGATTTAGTCTATATCGTGTTCGAGGCTATAGTTCATCACCCCTCCTTCATTGTTGGCAATCGAAATGGCACCCAATTTGGTTCTTACGTCTTTCTTGGTGTTGTTAGAAGTGGTATAAATCTTTCACAACTCCTTCGAAATTGGATTATTGTTTGCCTGGGTTTCGAACGATATCTCTTAGTTTGTCACCCGGTTTACTTTCGATCACAATGGAAGATGAAACATATTCACCGACTGATGACGTTTGGGGTTACTCTGTGCATTATTGTCCGCATTCCATACATTCTTTCTTATATATTTGATATATGGGGTCCAGAATGGTGTAGCTTGAGTGGAATCGCAACCGCTATTCACTCAATTGCAGATGTTATCTTCGTGGCCGTCTTACCTGTTCCCTTACTGGGAATTTTGTCTTTGATAGTCATTGCAGAATCGAATCGTTTGCAGTCGTGGAGGGCGAAAATGACGGTCAATTTAAGTGCAAATCAGACCAAAATGAAGAACGCCAATCGAAGAGCCCATCAGGCTATAATGGTAGTTGTCTTCTGTTTCACCCTATTCACAGGCGCCTTCCTGCCAAATGGAGTCCTTCGGCTTCTCCAATACAGTAGAGCTGGAAACATTTGCAAAATATACTTCTATCGGCAATTCACCGCGGCAATGGTTTTTATTGGCAGCCTATTAAATTCCTCCGTTAATTTTTTTATATACTTCGTTTACTGGGCTCGTTTCCGACGAGTCGTGAGGGATACAGTGAAAACACTTTTTCCATTTTTGAGGGCTTTTGCAGTGGCCAAAGAACGACGAAAAAGTACAATCTCAGTTGTCAGGGTGAGCAGTATGTTCAATATCTCCGTGCATTCCACTCTTTCAAAAGCCGGCTCAAGGAACGGAAGAGAGTGTTCAATATGAATAATTCTTAGGCCAATTCAAATACACTCTCATATCCTCATGTAAATTGTTGTATAACGTTTTGCATTTATATTACTGTTGCAATTTGTTAAATATCTTTGCCAAACAAAGCACTTATTGGATATGGTCCAGTTCAGAGGCCTTTCAAATCAATATTTTAATTATTCATTCAAATTCGTTGAGGCATCGTAATTTATAGCACAATTTAATAACTTTACTGATTTCATTGATAATTGTTTAATTATGGTAAAAATAAATGATAGTATAAATGAGTTACTATAAATAAATAAATAAATATATTTAAAGGTACTTATGGTTTTTCGTTTAAAACTTAAGAGGCAAGACGGTATCAAATCTACTTTTCATGAAGATCAATTTGGTAGGCTCTTGCATTATTTGATATGGGGCATATGAGAGTCCTATGAATTGAATCAGAAGTGCGTATTTAGTAGACACGAGGTTCCCCAAGGTTAATCTAATTTTTGAGACTATCACGAGCTGTGAAGTGCGTAGATCGAGGCAACTCATGTTTTGTTCTCTTCCTGACTACGGAAAAGTTTTGTTCATGTTCATTATCACAAGCAGACAGTCATTTCAATCATTTCTATGAAATAATAATTTAGAATAATGACGCCGGATACTTTTCCATAGGAAGAAGAGGAGTGATTTCCCATGACCTATCGCAGTATTGCACAAATAAATTTTAATTTTACTTCGAAATAAACAAAGGAAAATGAGTAAAAGAAAGTTCGAAAAATGTTAATGATGTGAGATCGAAGCGAATACTGGGAGCAATGCGTGGCTCCCGAATAGTCCTGATGTATCTAATTTCTGGATTCGAACTTTGCTATAATTACGCAAAGGGTGGACCACATTCTAAACTTAAAACGATTATACTGGCTTCCCTCCCCCCCCCCCCCCATGATTGCGATAAATGTTTGTCTGCAATGCCCCCAACTTATCGATCGGTTCATTTGATCAGAAAGGGTCGATATTGGTATTTTAATTCTTCCTCATTCTAATGACTGTGAACCGCAAATTATTTGCATAATATTCGGCTTCTTACTGTCTTTAACTCATTATTCTTATTCCTTAATTCTGAAGAGTCACTGGAAAACAGCCATTATTAAATTTCAACTTCATAATCGATAACAATCAACCAATACCACAGCAAGACACATCTTGAACTTTATTGGGACAATGGGTACTCTTTTGCAAAAAAAGAGTAATTGATAGCCGAAACAGTTGAAGTTACATTATACAGAATATCTTGAACTTTCAACTTGAATTACAGCAGGTTTAATATTTACGAAAAGAAGAAAAGAAGAAATCGCTTTGAAGTTTGAACCACCCCCCCCACCCCACCCCACCCCATCCCACCCGGCTACAATAGCATTCCAGGAGGTGCATAAATTAATACGTTCTCTGCTGATTACATTTTCATCCATTCATATTTTGTCTTTAAGATTTACCCGATAGGCTGATTATCTTGTTCAATTCTAAGGAACTAATTATTCAAAGTCACAACAGAATTTACCCTGATAGAACACAAAGCGTGTCTCTAATGTAGATGGGTGCATTTTGACCATATATATATATATATATAAAAATGTAAAATGTAAAAATGTTAAATGTATTTAACAAGACCAATGCCAAAAATTGGGATTATTTCAGTGACTCGTAGTTATATATATATATATATATTGATCTTGGCATTGATCTTGTTAAATACATTTAAGACATTAGTCGAAAGGGCTAAATAAGAGTTTTGTGCTGAAGGGTTTAGTTGCCTTTAATAACCTTCCATTAAATAGTTGAGAAAATTAAAAATAGAGTTCTTTTCTCGATAGCATTCACCTTTTTTTCATCAAAACAAGGCCAATGACCGTTCTCTCACATTTTCGAATTAGATTATTTTTTGATATTAAATTTTGTTGTCAATGGTGTAATGCCAGGCGTAAAATAAATATCCCCCCAGTTCAAGTTAACTTATTTTGAGAGAACCAAGTGAAGACGAGCTATTGGTGCTTTTTTGTTGATCCATGATTGGCTGAGAGTGACTGAATCATTCACCAATGCCAATCTTTTTTTTCTATTTCGAGGAGCCTTAAGGCGATATTTTACCCGATTGACCAATCCATAAATGGCAATTTAATTTATTGTACTTTATCCACCTACCGGTAATGAAGAGGCAGTTGCATGCTCACTCTATCTGCACGCCAAGCCAATTATTCACCATTCCATTAGGCACGGAATAATCTCCTGCATCATATTTTGCTCGTGGTGAAGTATAAATTTAATAAAGCACTTTGAACTCCAATTGAATTCAGTGGCCCTTGATCGTAACACACTGTTACCTTGAGCTATTTGAAAGCGTTGAGATCAATGCAATCGTTATTCCTCCTAAAATCACAGTTAACCTTATGACTAAAAGCCCAGCAAAAACCTTATTTCCATGTGAAAATGCTATAAAAATAGGTCTCATAAGTGCATGTGTACTTTAATCCAAATCTAATTGACATCCAATTTCTTTATGCCTAAGGCCTTATCTTGCAACAGATTGAGTTCAGATAAAATAAGGTTATTATTTTGTTTATTTATTTGCAGAAGACAAGCAAATTGCATTTTTTCCGGTTAATTGAGTTGGGCGTATGCACTTAAAGAAATTCGCACTTTTGGGAGAGTTCAGAATTTTAGGGAGTAAATATCAAGTCATAACAGCTTTTTCGTAAAAACAAAGTTCCATTAAGTCGACAGCAGTATTGGCTAAAATGGAGAGTAAATTTTCTAGGCCTTTAGTAAACATTTATTTATTTATATCAAATGGCAGGCGCTTTGGTGGTCATCATTAGCCCTTTAGTTAACTTCAGGCTTCACAGAGGGGAAGGAACATCATAGTCAAAAAACGTCGAGAGGGAGGGGGAGGGTAGAAGAGTGTTTCAAAGACGAAGGTTGAAAATTTAGAAAAAGAGACGAAGGTTGAAAATTTAGAAAAAATGTGAGGTGAGTATTGTAGAAGTGATCGAATATGACATACAGGGGGTCAGAAGTCAACTGCCAGTTAATAGACCTTTTTGCCGTATGAGTATACGTTGCCCGGGGTGCACCACGTGGAGGTAAGTCTATCGCACACCCCCCTTTAGTAAACATAAATTTTGATAGTAGATTTTACGAAAATGCGATTGTAGCATTTCGTTTCATTTACATTTTAACTTAAAAAATTTTCCGTGGTCTTCGATTTAGACTCTACTCTACACCGTAAAAAATTACTCGGTCTGTAATAGAAAACGTAGCGAATTGTGCGAACACTGTTTTTTTCCAAGAGAATTAATGTAGTCGAGGTTCCTTTCAACTTCTAGCCCTGACTAGTCTGAGGATGATAATTGAGCAACTCTGAGCACTGCATGTTCTTCAATACTCTGGACATTCCAATTATCGAGGACAGCAACATATTCCTCCAGATTCCATGTATTTCTCAACATCCGTGGAAAGTGTAAGCTACTTCCATCGATCTAGCGTAGTATGGACTCAATGATAAAAAACTGCTGGTCAAAATGACGTGTTCGCTTTTTTTCGAAAATAGGATTGTGAGACAATTGTGCACCCTTGCAAATAAACTACTACTCTGCATGATTGACAATTACCGTCGATGTGCATAATTAGGAGAAGATGGGGGTGGGGAGATGGTCTAATCCCTCTGATTTAAATTGCCTTAAGCTTTTAAGGTTTTTAGGAAGGCTCTTGAAGATGAATAAGTAATTTTTTAATAGCTTGATACTATTATCTAAAAGCTCTTTGAAAAAACAGTTTGAAAAAACAGTTAAATTGGGTTTTACCTCCTTAAATAAGGTAGTAACAGCAATCGTCTTCGTTAAAGTTATTTCACCGTTGAGTAGAATAAATTTGAAAATTACCAGTGAGGGGAGATAGCAAATTTGAAATCACGTGACTCGTCGTGAAAATTTGTCCTTTTTTGGTCTTCGTATCCTATCTTGCCATATTTCGCCATTCATTGCGGTACCCTTTTTCAAACCGCTGCATTTTTTCCACCTCCAGTGGTGGGCAAGATGAAACGAATTTGTTTCAAAGCTTTCACTTCGGTTTCCCCAAATATTTTTCTCTTTTTACTAGATAATGTCAAATTTCAAGCATTAATTCATCCTTATTGCCGACGATTTACCACAATGCTCTCTATCTAATGACCTTTAAACTCCCTGGGAGCATCTAGTTATTTACTTATTGGGATGCAGAGAAATCCTACAAAAATCCTCCGTAATCTCTATTGACAAGATCGCTCTGTTTGGAAGGGCTCCGGAATTCGGTAAGCAACCTGAACAATAAAGAGGAAATAGATGTATTTCGCGTACAGTGCTTAGTGAAATTATCTTCACCACAAACAAAAATTAGCAAATCTTGAATGAATATTAAAGCTAACTAGCTGTGAAGTCTTCCGCACGCACATTCACATTCTCCCGAATGTTCGAGTGCGCATGAGATTGACCAATTTAATCGTACCCAAGACTGTGTACTCCGTCAAGGAGAGCCATAAGAGATAAAGCATTTTAAACATAACTTCTTCCGTTTTGCTTCCCTTTTGAGGAAACACTACTAATTTTACTCGAACTCCTTATTTAAGTGGTTTTCACCTCAGTCACATTTTTAAAACGCTTTCCCTTTGAGTACACTCCATGGACAGGAAAGATTATCATCAGATGGAGCGAGATTTGAATACTATGGGTAGATGCGGTTGAACCTCAAAATTTAATTCCTAGTTTCCTTACTAGGTCACTCTTTCATTGAGAGACTGACTGGGCGGATATTGGCATATTAAGGAATTTACCATTCTCCTTTTGTGAGTTCTGGCGTATTTGTCCCATTCTTGGACTCAATAAACTTCGGTCTGCAATCCCCCCCCCCTCCTCCCCGTCTATTTGTAGCAATTCACACACATCTCACCAAATGCATAAGAGTAGCTTTCGGTGGGTCAGTCTTAGGGGATG